CCACTGAATAATCAACATACAAGTCTGTCTGAACCACTGAAAGGGTTAAAGGCTACAGTGACTCCTGAACGGGCTCCTTCAGGTTCAGAGTGGGGCTGCTTGCCAGCTGTGCACCAGGAATACAGCTGTTCAAGGCTTGTGCTCCTGCCGGGCCTGGCAGTACTGGTCTCTGCCCCGCCTGGCTGGATCATGAATTTGCTTGACCCGTTCAGAAAACATGATGACAAACTACAAGTCAAGCGTTTGCACATCAGGGGGCTGCAGTGGACATTACATTAAATACTAAAGGAAAGTTGTAGACCGACATCCAACAACAACAAAATGGCCAGAGTTTTAAGAGGCTGACCTATCCTTTTGGTGTCGCTGAAATCTGGCTCTGGTTCAATATATGGCTTCAGCTCCTCTTCCTCATAGCCGACATTCATCCACCTGTCCTTCATGATTTGCTAGCGGGAGAGAGAGATCATGTTCAGGGGAACGGTGCTGGAGACATCGCGCGGCATTGAATGACAGAACAAAAGATGACAGATTGCATGGGGACTGTTTCGGTTACGATAATTTAAAGCTGTGCCTTAAGAAAAAGAATCAATAAGTTTAAACCAAACCCATCCCTCGCATTTCATTGGCAAATCAAACACAAAATCAATTTATCTCTGTCCCCCAAGTCTGCTATTATCTTAAATAATAACTAAGGCGCACTGGCAATAGACAAAAACATATTTTGAAGCAATTTCCACATACCGCACGTATAATAGCCAATATTAAAAACTGCTATGAACTGACTCAAACTCAAATACCTATCTCTGTCTGAGACCGGGCAGGGCCTGTGCACAGGTTCCAAATAATACTAAGCTGGCACAATATTAAAACAAGAAAACAAAATGTTGACTGATTTAATTGGTGTTTCATATACACTTTTTTCCATTCTGTAATAAGCACTGCTTTAAAAAAGCTTAACAGAAAATGTCTATAAAGAGCCTGAAGTGGATCCAGAACTTAAAACAAATTCTGGAAGAAGCACTGGTAAACAGTATACAGCTCACTGCAGGAGATATATGTTCCTGCTCTGTAAGAAATAATGAATACACATTTTAGGACATAAATCCTGAAACACTTCTGTAAAAATAGAACCACACTGCTGCAGATGTATGAACCCCAGCACGGAAAAGGAAAAGCGCTCAGCACTGAAGCTCAGAGGGGCGACTTACTTCCAAGCTGCCTCGTTTGACAGGATTGAGCACTAGCAGCTTCTTCAGCAGGTTTTCACAGTCCGTGGACATGTAGAAGGGGATCCGATACTTCCCTCGTAACACCCTTTCGCGCAGCTCCTACAATGAAAAACAGTTCGGTACTTTTGTGGCACCCGCCCTGTCTGCAATGGCATCAGAGCAGTGAGCCCAAAAACCCTCTAAGTCAACAAAGCACCACACAGTACAAGCCAGCACCAGGACCTCTTAGGGAGCTGCGCATGAAGATCGTTGGCTTATTTACAGTCCCGTGTAATGATTTAATTAATTAACATTGAAATAGACTTGGAAACCAAACTGTAATAGTCTGTGGCTGTGAACGTGCTTTAAACTGGACCTTACCTTTAGGTTCTGGCCATCGAAGGGCAGTGAGCCGCTGACCAGTGTGTAGAGGATGACGCCCAGGCTCCAGACGTCCACCTCCGGCCCGTCGTACTTCTT